ATTGTTAATTATCTGTTTTTTCAAACATCATGGGTTACACTGAAGCATATGAAAATGACTAAGTTTGGAGGTATAATTTATATATAATGTATATATATATTTCTGGGTGGATACAAGAACTGCAGAAAAGTAAATATTTGGTGTAATTATGGGTAAGTACAAGAATAAATTTCATGCTTATTAGATATTGTTTTTCATAATCTTATTTTCATTACGTAATGGTAACAAAGTTAAGTTGCTTTGTTCTACAGTGTTAACACTACAGTGCTGTGCCTTTTATCATTGTTTTTACAAGAAATCTGGCTTGATCTCACATTAATGAATGTGTCTTAAACATAAATTGAATAGGATCAAAACTGAATCCAATCAGGCACTTGTGAATCGAAATCAAACTGAATTGTGAGGTCAGGGCCGATTCCCAGCCTTAAGCGATACCTGTATGTTCCTCAAACAAAAAGGTTCTAATTTATGTTTTTGCACACATCCTTATGTTAAAGTCCTTCTGAAACATGGCATGTGAGTTTTAGACTTGCTCATCTTTATTTTCAGCTGTAGATTTGCCTATTTTTATTTTCAGTAAAGCTGTCATATAGCATTTCATTCCTATCAGATTGATATAGAATCGGAATCAAATTTAAATGGATTGAATTGAATCATTAGCTTATGCATTGGAATAGAATCAAATGGAATCAAATCGGGGAATCTGTGCCTATACCCAGCCCTACAGAAGACCAGAGGAACTTCAAATCTTAAATATATTTATATTGTTGTTTGTTACTTTCATAACAAATTTTCAATGCCAGTAAGTCAAAAGGCTCTTAGAAATACACCATCCAGGGCTTGTTAGTTGTGTTGTTAGTAGTATAGATCACTGTTAACATGCCCTAACTAACCACACGTACGCAATGGAATGTGAGTGCAAAGTTCATCCCAGGAGCTGCTGGTGCGGAGGAAGTGGATCAATCTGCTTTGTTCTGGAGACACTTTCACCGGCGACGTCTGGAATGCGTCTGATGAAAGATGGGCTTGCAGGTCTCTCCGGATTGCCACTGAACAGGGACTCGGCGGAGCTACCGTGAGACCCGAAAGACTGTCACTCTTCCGACACTCTGGGTGAATTCAGTGTCAGACAGAGGAATTCAAGCACAGGACAGGTTGACCATATGAAGATGAAACACATCAACTCTTAGACACTGAGGTCTGTGATGTCTGAAGTCTGTGCTGCTCACGGCTCTAATGCTCTGAATGGTACGCAACTTGTGTGGGAAAAAATAAAACTGCAATATATGTTATCAAACATTAAATATGTCAAATTTAGGAATAAACTGCGGTCAAACTATAAAAATATTTCACAGAGGATGGTGTAGGTGGGGTGAGGGGGTCCCCAACTATTGTTGTTTGAGGGGTGGGTACCTGCACCCCTTGTAGATTTGGCAGATATACCTTTGCATGACTGATATTGTGAAAGTACTCAGAACAATTTCGGGCAATGGGCAGTCGAAATGGTATCTTTTCAGAGGAGATGGTTTTTGTCATTTCTCCTAAGGGGGGGTGGCATCTACATGCATCCTGTCACAAGCCCTGACAGGATATATAACTTTCGATTAAAGCCATACATGTTGTTGTATGTAATTTTTTTTACATTGGGTGGTGAGCAGGGCGGCCATGGCCTTATCAAGGCTGGGGGGTGTGCGTGTCACATGGCACTCATCACGAACCGGGGGGGGGGGGGTTGGGCCACCTTCCACCCCCTCCACCTCTATCACTCTAAGCCCATGAAACACACGAAGCATGAAGCTTCCTAATCCAGTCAGGGCGCATGGCAGAGGTCACACACCATGACCTGTGGCAGAGAACCTAAAGCCAGTCATCTGCTCAGACGCGGTGCTGGCAGACAGGATAGAAGAATCGCTGAACTCAAACATCATCAGATAGCCGGAGCCTCTCAGCCTGTGTGGGATTACAGTACTTTCAGCCAGCTCCTGTGATGTTGTAAAACCTGCCCCTATCCCAAGACACCCATAGATGAGCTCCAAGCTGAATAGGAGGCATGAACGCTGTGTCTGGGTCTTGGTCTTCCCAGATCTAAAAGGCTTATGATCCGTCCTGAAGCAGGTTCAGCCCCCTACAGTGATGAATTCTGCATACGGGTTATATATGTTTAACCCCACTGCCTGGACTGATGATCTTCTTTCACTCAGGGCCAGTGTGCAATTCAGCAGGTTAGCGTGCCGTGCTCGTGGTCGGAAGGTTGCCAGTTCAAATCCTAAAGTCAGCAGGGTGATTTCACCCTTGTGTCTCTGAGCAAGGCCTTTAATCCCCCATTGGTCCAGGGACTGTCTGACCCTGCTTTCTGAAAAATGCACATAGCTTTGGATAAAGTGTCTGCAAAATAGACTGAGATGTAAACTTGATGGAATATCTGAATAAGATGGAATAGGCTATCTGAATAAGATGGAATAGGCTATCTGAATAAGATGGAATAGGCTATCTGAATAAGATGGGTGTAGTTGCTACATTGTTATATTTTCTTGCATTGAAATGCACTTACTTAAAAAAATGGATTTAATATTGATTTATGAACACTGACATTATTATACATATGAACACGATTAACTTTCATACTGGTTCTTTCTGATCTTCAACTGCTGGTAAATAACAGGCAGCCTCTAACGAAAAATACTGGTAATCAAGAAGCAAAGGTTTGCTATGAAGAAAAAAAGAACAGCAATGAGTTTAGACTTAGTACTGTTAATCTCATATTTTCGTATTTAGAAATGATCTCAGGAGAGCTCATATAGTTAACGAAGTTTTCGACGCAGTACGTTAATCTGTAGTCTATAAAAGCACGTAGGCTGCCGACGGACCGTGAGGATTCACGCTACCAGGGTTGCCAATCCTGTTCAGCTGACTGGACTCAGATTTTCAATTCGAGACGAGTCTGCACACTCATTTACATGTATGTAACAGTTTTATTACCTTGCAAATAGTCTGTAGGTTTTGCGAACTACCCCAACGCGTTTGATATAGCTAATTTTAAGTTTATAATGGAATAACATAGGTTAATATAATAGATAATATAGATTAGGTTTATAATGGAATAATACAGATTTACCGTAAGATTTCTTGTGTGAGTGTGTGAATCTGAAAGCGTGAGTGTCACGCAAGATGCGTGTGAGTTGGCAGCCCTGCGCTGCACGTCCCAGTCACCTCACAACACACGCGCATTAAACGTTAAACTGCGTCATTTACATTTCATACACAGACTAGGGTCAGTAATAAACATCTTATAATGGTTCACGTCTTTCGATGAATTTGCATTAGTGAAAACTTGTCTAGCCTATTCAGTTGAATACAACGTTACGTTGAATATAGTGTGCGAACCCTTGTAGATTTATTTATGACGTATATGGTAGGTGGAAACTGTATTAAAGCAACAGATTGACATTTATATGTCATATGAAGTTGAACTACTTATGATACTGTAAGTCGATACTCCTGAGAAAATAGTGATATGCATCATTGTTCTGAAACAAAATTAATTCCTTAATCTCTCTCCCTATCTCCCCACAAACTAGCACATCTTCTTGCCAAACTGCATTACCATCCCCCTATCAAACCCGCGCCGTAGTTTAGTGTGGGTTTTCATACGCTAATATATGATGGGGGTCTTGTTGGGTAAACACTGCATCAGAGCGTATCCAGTGTCGCAGTCTCTTTCTGATGCAAAGACATGTTGTTTTGGCTTGTCAGCTGAAGTACACTGCGTACGCTGGAAATAGACCTTAGAAACACCTCCAAACCAAACAAGCACATTTAAACGGATCGACTTTCGCTTTTTCACTCACTTTCTCTTCAGGACATCAAGTAGTTTATAGATTATTGTTATTTCATTCTGCCCTGTTTTGCAAGGACTCGGATTATCACACATTACATTTGCATGCAGAAATCTGCTCTCATTTAATTGAATCTACACGTCTTGTCCTGTGGCAGCAAAGCCCTGATAAAACATTCACACCTTTGCTGCAGGAACGCGTATGTATTATTCATTCCCTGATCCACGATAGAGGGCAATTCGGTCAAACTATAGCCGCCAATTAAAAGTAACAATGGAAGAAAAAAAAACTCCGTCCAGCGATTGGCACCTCTTGATCAATAATTTGAGACAAATTAATGTCGTTCTTTGTAATCGAAAGTAGGACTTTAAATTTGAAATAACACGTAAACGGGTTGGACTCATGCCAAACAGGCCTACCTGTAGAAATAGGCCTACATGACTTTAATTACCTTTATGCCAAACCACGTAACCTACGGCATAAAAAAAAATAATAATAAAAAAATAGTTTTAGTAGCATCACAGTTGTTTTTAGCCATATATCTGCGAATATGTTTGGAGAAGTTCACGTTACGTATCTTGCTCAAAGGTAGTACAAGCCACAGTTTCGTGGTTTTACATCTTTTATTACATAGCTGTCTGGTAGGCCTACATCAATGTAGAACAAAGAAAACTACAGAATTGGTTTAAACACATTAGAAAAAATATGTACGTACCACACTCAGTGTAAAAGAATGTATTACTTTAAACGAAAGTTTTAAACTATTAACTTGTAATAATGTATAATGTTTATTATAATTATAGTCTTCGCCTATTGATGATAATGAATGGGTTATGTTTAATACACACGTTTCCGAGCATGCAGTATAGTCTCGGGGCTGGACTGGGATAAAAAATCGACCCTAGCTGGACTTTGGGGTCTCCGATGATATTTTTTTTTGAGCGGGAGGGAGGGGTCTTCCACGAAGAATTTTGCCGAGTGGCGGGATGGGTCGGGTCCTCACGATAAATTTTACCGGCCGACACACCCATCGGCCCAATAAAATACTTGTTATGCCACTGGGTCAGTCCAGGCCTGTGTTTATTTATAAATTATATTTATTATATAGATGTAATTGAAATTGTACCAGGCATTAGGGAAATTTTGTTTTACTTTGCACCTCCAACAAGCAGTTTCTGCTCCTCCACGCGCTGGTGCACTACTTCTTCTGCAGATCATTCTCTTTGTACTAGAAGGAAAAAATACAGTCAGTTAAATCCATACAGCGTGTATTCTTCGCACTTCAGCTGCTTGTAATGGTCATTTACAAACAGGCAACGATTATCGATCCTCGCCAATCCGGAGAGGTCTGTAAGTAGCACAGCCACAACATGTTTCCAGAAGTAGTTTCAAGAAGTAACACGGCCGGTGTTAAAGCGTGTTTGTTGCAAGTTACTTAATAGCCATAAATACTGTCGCGAGTATACATACACGTACCGACATTAATCTATGCATCAGTTGGAAAAAGGTTGCCTTTTTATTTATTATGCATTTTGTTTAATAAATGGGTGGTTCATTTTGCGGCTCCGATGAAGGTTTGGATTTGTAGTGTGGGATTGCATCTGAGCAGGTATACGCCTATAAAAGCCTGTACCCCCGTGTGCAATAAGCCCAGGAGGTGCTATTGCCTCGCAGAAAGACAAGTCAGTCAGCCTTCGCTTAGTGACATCACTGAGCAACAAAAACTCGTTGGTGGGAATCAATTGAATCATCTCACCCTAAGTAAGAGAGACGCTCAAAAACTTCACTTGTCAGGGGACCAAACGAACTGCACTAAATGTCAGGAAACTCCCCGAAATTTGCTTTTACCATTGGCTTCTGCTTCAAATATCCAGTGAGGTCACTTTTAGCCTAGATCGGTCCTGCCCGTTTTGTACTCCTTCCCCTTTTTTCTATAGGCAAACTCACATCTACAAAGTCGATTACAGCAAAGTCCACAGCTGCTGAAAATATGTGCAGGAGGTGGTCTCTACCGTGGAGGGTTTTCTGCTTTCCGCAGGACAGCTGTGGAGAATAACATGAACTGATGTGGGAATTTACTGGACAACAAAGCGACAGCGACGGCCGGACGCACTGCTTCCTTGTAGGTAACAGCGTGTTAAATCTTGGTTGCTGGTCAACAATTGCGACGGATCAATAATGGAAATAAGCTAAATATTTGAACAGCACTTCGCATTTAAATGCGAGACTGATTCTTTTTATATTATTTTTGGACTACGTGTACTCACTAGAACTCCCATTTTGTCGTAAAATACATACGATCAAGACTATGATGATTGCAAAGTATTTTAACAGATCTGGATGATTTTTTTAAGACTTTTTTAAGACTTTGGGATATATATTTAAAACAACAACAACCTATACAGTCTATAACGCGTTTTTATTTTGGATATCTTGTCTTATAGTCTTGGACGTTTTTTTTAGGACAACTGCCTTTCCCTGTCGTAGACTTGCCCTGTACAGCTGAAGTAGATTAAATTGCACACCTGTGAGTCTATGATCTAATCTTATATCAGACACAACACCTAAGCGTCATGTGGAGGATCTCCACGCGTGTAGCGCTGCCGCAGTCTGAGTCCTCCGCTCAAACACCGCTCCTATTAATCTCTCTCATCACTATATTCTTTCATGCTTCATAAGTTCTTGAAGCTGTAAAGGCGGCTGCTGTCTTTTATTTCACACGCCAAATGTCTCACCATCTTATCTCTGAGTAATTGAGCGTTTTTGTATGCTCTTTCCTTTTCCAACAATTCTTTGATTTTTTTTTCTTTGTGTGGGTATTTTGTTGTCATATTTTGACTGCTGTAAAAACTCTTTCCCTCTTTTTTTTATCACTTTTAACTCTTTAGCGTACTGGTTTGCCACCCATTGCATTTTTAGCCAGCAGGTATACTATTTCCAAGGCTTTTTGTTCTTTACTTCAAAGAAGCATGTCGTCCTTTTAACCTCCTTGCCTTAAATGCTTCCTATGGAAGAATACTATCCTCATGGCCACGTCTTGCGGTAAACAGCCCAAACCCCAGGCTTTAATGCACCTCATATGACTGCAGCCCTCGAGTATTGACAACTCCGCTCCAGGAACAGATCGATCATGGTTGCTTTGGTCCGCGGGCTCATGGTGCTGATGCTCGGCCAGGTGCTGCTCGGAGGTTCGGCCGGACTGATCCCGGAGGTTGGCCGTAGGAAATTCAGCGAGTCCAGCAGGCAAAGCCCGCAGCAATCGGAAAGTATCCTCAACGATTTCGAGCTTCGTCTCCTCAACATGTTCGGACTAAAGCGGAGACCAAGCCCAAGCAAGCTCGCCGTAGTGCCCCAATACATGGTGGACCTCTACCACCTGTATTCCGGGAACCGGGAACAGAACCTCAGCCGGCCGAGGAGTGCTTTGGGGAAGCATTTAGAGAGGTCCGCCAGCAATGCAAATACTATTAGGAGTTTTCACCATGAAGGTAAGTCTTTCTGACGCACCTTCACCAGTTTCTACGAGTTATACAGTAGAACATTTTGGATCGACACAGTTTATAGACACAATTCAAAGTCAATCAAGTTTTGCTTTATAATAAAGCTGCATGAGATGTGTTCACAAACAACTTCTCCTGCCACTTAGCAATTATGATCACACGGTCATAGATGATCATTTAAGACAAGCGTCATTTTCTGCGGTCCGACGTTGCTTATGTTGTGGTGTTGTATTGCAGGAAGGTCTATTTCATATGGTTTGCAAAACATATACAAATTAAAATGAAGACCCCCCCTACCCCCAAGTTGTAAAGAAAATTACTTTGGTTTGGTACATGATGCTTGATCCCCTCACGAGGACTGTTGGACGTTTCCACGCTCCGAATGTAATGAGTGTCTGTAAATAATTTATACAGTTTATGTTGAGGCTGAAAACAATTTTCTCCCTGCACGGACTGTAGTTTATTGTACAACGGGAGATAGGGCAACGGGGCACCGGCAGTGATGTTCATAGCTTGGTAACCGCAAGATCACATTTCATTACACAAATTTGGACATTGTACCCTTTAAAGTAACATGGAGTTCTCACTGGAGAAACTTCCAAGGTTCTAGTAAACGGACAAAATCATTTTCAACGCCATATAACTACTAAACGTTGCCGTTGTTATGAAGAAGTTATTTTAAGATATAGCCCAGTTTTCTGAGTAGTGAGTGTTGTCGTTCCTGTAAAAAGAAACTAAAACATCCTAAAAACATAAGAAAAATAATTACATAGAAACTCGCAACACTTGGTTGTTGCGTTCAGCTGATTATCCAATAGAGTAGTAATTCTTTTGCGAAATTACATAACTCTTAGGAGTATGACATTATTAAAACAAATGTATAGTCTATATGTTATTGCACGTCATATTATGTGGCTACATTGTTTCCTATTGTGCGTGATATACATAAATACGTATATTATTGTTTTGAAATTCAATATTAGAGATGGGGTTTTTAAACATTTCAGCTGTCGAAAACTGATTTATATGAAACAGCTGCTAAGGCACCACTCAACGTCCTATAAGATCGTCTTTTTATCATTGTTAATCGTTTTTAATACTGTGTGATGTTAAATCATAATCCTCATTGAGAGGTGTTCGCGCCAGTTAGCCTATCGAGTTTCACTTTCACGCACACGGATACTCTGGTTTTTTTCTTCCTTTTCCTAGGAAAACTTTGTTTTGTACAGAAAATGTGCAGTCAACGGCTCAATTTCTTTGTGGGTTTACATCTCTTCTGTAGCTACAGTCTAATCCCATCTGAGCCCGGCTCTTCCTGTAGGTTTATGCCCCAAGATGTCAGCATGGTTTACCCATTTCTGATAATTGTAAGATAAGGTCTAGAACGAGTCTTAATTGTTCCTGAATCTGTTGAATCACATCGTTAGTTCTATATCTGGGTCATTGAATACCCCGCCTGGATAAGTGGTGGAGAATTAAACTTAATTATATATATATATATATATTGACAAATTCCCTCCAGTGACTAGCCTGTACTAAATGCTATGCATAATGCTCCAGCATAATAGCGTATCACCAGTTTAGGCCAAATAGGAATTTGCAAGTATACTTTACACCACACAGTGTTCTTTCAGTCCACGTAGGGGATTCCATTCGAGACCATGTACATGTCTACTGTTTACAGATGTAATTTTCAACATTCTTCATCCATCTCAACTTCCTCAGCCAATACCTGGACCAAATATTCAGTTATGGAATATGGATATGATGATTAATATTATAGAATGAGATTCAAGAGAGCTTCTGTAATAGCTGGAATGAAGGTGATAAACAGTCCTGCCAGTTGTTCTAGATAGTTAAAGCTGGTGGTGTATTATTATAGCTAATATTTATCTTGCAGTGATTCGTAATGCACTTTGTGACCAGTTGGTCCTGTTTATGTTCGATGTTAAAATATGAATTTGTTAGTATAATATTGTACACATGCACTATGTTGCAGTTACATAGATGAATGTCGTTTGCTGTATTTAGATGTAGGTTGACTATGCCGGCCGCATTGTAAGATGGTTCTTGGGGTTACTGGGGCCATGAACCTCTGCCTTTCCCACTCAGACTGCATGTCAAATGATTAGTGAAACGTGTGAACTAATGTTATCTGCAGCCTTTTGTGGGGCGTGATTTCTATTCACGATTAAGGACACGATGTGTGGTTCGTGCGTAGTGGGCGTGCGCCAACGTGTTCAGAGAAAGGTTCTCCTTTTGAGAGGAGCCGCTCTCAGGCTCGCTCATGGAGATTTGAAGACAACAGGGTTTTTCCCCGCAGGTAGAAGAGATGAAAAGCCCCCTCCCCATGTTTTGTGTTCTTTGTGTCTGGCTATGAGTAGAAATGGGGACGGAGAAGATGATTTTTCTTTTTTTTTCTTCCCACCCAGATTTAAAAAAGACCCCTTTTGTAGTGTATTGAGCATCAACCCCTCAGGCAACAGCTTGGTTGGAGTCTAAGTACCTAGAGGTTGTATATCTAAATCCATGGAAGAACATGTGGCATTTCAGCAAATATTCTGTTTTGTGCAACTTATCATGGCTTACATAGTGATTTTCTTTTAATACCTGAATGCATGCACAAAACTTGTGCCTTATTTTCCATTTAACCCACACACATATATGTGAGCAGTCATCTTGTTTAGGGTGTTAATTTGTCATCTTTTGTGGACATTTCCCAGCGACTGTCACCTTAGAAGATTTAGCAGATGCCGTTGGTCAGACAAACATGTGGTTAACTTTGATCTCAGGTTTTGCCAACATCTTTGATGCTCAGTAAAGTCCCATTCTCCTTTATGCCACCAGAATCCTTGGAGGTCCTCTCCAGCCTCAGCGGAAAGACCACACAACAGTTTTTCTTCAATATCACCTCCATCCCTGACTCTGAGCTCGTCACGTCAGCAGAGCTGAGGATTTTCCGGGACCAGGTGATGGAGTCCATCACCAATGGGAGCACTGGTTACCACCGCATCAACATATATGAAGTCCTGAAGCCTGCACTTTCTTCCAAAGAACCAATCATGAGACTTCTGGATACCAGGCTGGTGCAGCACAGCCTGAGCAAATGGGAGAGCTTCGATGTTAGCCTTGCCCTCACAAGGTGGACCACGGAGGGGCACTCCAACCTGGGATTTGTGGTGGAGGTGGTCCACCTTGACAGCCAGAGTCAGGAGGCAAAGAGGCACGTGAGGGTGAGCAGGTCACTGCACGCCGATGAGGACTCCTGGCCTCAGATGAGGCCGCTCTTAGTGACGTTCAGCCACGACGGGAATGGCAACGTCCTTCACACGCGAGAGAAGCGGCAGGCCAAGGGCAAACAGAGGAAGAAGCACAAAACCAGCTGCAGGAGGTACTCTCTCTACGTGGACTTCAGCGACGTGGGCTGGAATGACTGGATAGTGGCCCCGCCGGGCTACCACGCCTTTTACTGTCACGGAGAGTGCCCGTTCCCATTGGCCGATCACCTGAACTCCACCAATCACGCCATAGTTCAGACTCTGGTTAACTCCGTGAATACGAACATTCCCCGGGCCTGCTGTGTCCCCACAGAGCTGAGCCCCATCTCCTTGCTCTACCTAGATGAATATGAAAAAATTATCTTGAAAAACTACCAGGATATGGTCGTTGAAGGCTGTGGCTGCCGGTGAAATGAGAACAACATTACTGACACTTTATTTCCCAATGAAGACTCCTATTTATACATATATAGAAAATGAAATTTAAACTGCTATTTTGAAAAAAAGAAATATGAATATATTTATGTCTACAAAAGTTGGGAAAATAAATATCTTAATCAGAGGATTATTCCTTTAATGGTTTTGAAAAACATTTCTGATGTACATTTTCAAATGGGTGCAATACCAGTCATGAAGTATAATGCTCAGATTTTTATTATGTATTTATTTCTATTATAACCACTTTTATGTAAATAAGTAATATGTGTATTTATGTATAATCACGATAAAATATAGGATTGGAACACAATGTCCAAGGAAGATAGATGACTTAGGTCTGTCCATTTATTTTATAGAATTGGAAAAAAAATATACCGACTTCTCTTTTTTAAACACTTATTTAGGCCCTGTTCAAAACAGAGGCAGTGCCTGCATTTATTGTAGGGGAAAAAATACAGAAAACATGTTTGCAAATGACATTAACATAGATATACACTCAAGCATCATTTCTCCAGATCGAAAGGTTACGCTCTCCGTTCGCCTTCAAGCGGAGTGAAATACATTTTTAAAATATGCAAGTTATCTGATTTACATAAATATAACTGTGCTAATTCGGGAGGGGGGGGGGTGAAGTGTGTCACAGTGACGTGAATCAGGCATGTTAAGCAGTACGGCTCGAATCCCATGTGGCACTGCATTGGCGCCCCTTCAGAATGTGGCGCCCCCATGTGGCCGGCCAAGGCGCCCAGTGGCTTCTTCGGCATTGGTATTATAGGTGGGTTGTTCTTATGGTGAAGATGGAGACAGTGCCAGGATGGGCAGGTTAGTTAGTCATGAGTAACATGAATGTTATGTGAGAGGTAGGAAACACTGAATGCTCAGGTACTGCTCTGGTGTTGGTACATGTGCATCTTCTCAGAAAGTGCTCGGTCTGACCCGAGAGGAGCACAGTGCTTTGGTGAGCACTGGCCGGGCCCGGCGACCCCCGCTCTGGTGGGATGCTGCGCGCTGCTAAATGGAGAAGACTGGCTGTTTGCAGACCCCCCCCCCCCCCCCCCCCCGAGTGATTTTCTTTGGGTTATTTAGACAACAAAGTGCAATTTCTTTCCAATGCTGCTAATGTAACACAATCGGGAGCCTCGCAAAGGAGTTCATGGGTTTGCAGAGGTCACATACTGAGAAATCGCTTCTTGGGAATTTTTTTGGCAGCTAAAACGCACATGTGACTGTGTTGTGGTGAGTCGCTGGACACCTTTCTCTGATGTTCATTTTTGCCTAGTAGCTTGAGAGGAAATAAACACAAATAAACTTAATGCAGGAGCCTGGTTATGGGAAGTCTAATCACTTCACTGTCCTACTTCTGGTTGACTGTGTTTCATTTGTTCCTCGTATTGAACGCAAGTCACATGTCGATACCACAAGTAAAGGGTATATGGATGTCATGTGTAATATATTATATCTCTGACCCCTAAATATAGGGTCACGTGCTGAACATAAAATCACCCCCAGTGGTGGAAAGATTTTCAGATATAAAACCTGTCAGCCCTCTTCAGACAAACCACTCAGACAAGAGGTGATTTAGGGTGACAGGAGGTCCAAGTTAAAAAGTTAATTATGGTTATATGAAACTCTTGGATTATTTTGACTTTTTGAGTTCTAAGTGAATCCTATGAAAAATCAAATATGATTTTATTACAAGCCAAACTTAACAATTAAAATCAGTGCACTTGGGAGCTAAATCTCTAAATGAAGGCTAAATGGTGGCTATGAAAAGCAGCCAGGAACGAATAGGGATTTTGAATCGGAACGACTCAAATAAATGAATTCCTACAAATGCAAAGCACGCAAAGACAGGAATAAGCCAGAAAGGATTTGAAGAAGAGACCTTCTCTAAATGCACGTATTTTGACGTGCATTCGCTTCTGAAGCGTGGAATGTCGATTGCTACATAGATGCATGAACATGCTTGCAGAAAAACAGCCTTCCGTAGACGCTCCTCATCTGCCAGGCCGAATCTTTCTGATGTTTTCCAGTGACGGCCATGCGGTAACAATAACATGTGAGAGGATTTGTTTGTAGGATGGCAAGTGGGGTTTTGGGATCAGCCCTCGTGACTGAAAGATGCTGTTGTTCTAGCAAAATGCACAATATATATGTGAACAGTGTGGTCTTGGCAGGTTGTTTGCCAGATGCTAGAGACTCATGGGCAAATTCCTCTTTTTGGCTTTTTATAGTATGTTGGGTTGACAGGCGCATAAAAAAAGCAATTTTGATGAAAAACGAATGAACGGATCAGCTAATATATATATATATATATATATATATATATATATATAAAAATTATGAGGTTTATGTCCCATTAAGAACTGCTGTGGTCCTAAATACATACTTGGTATGCACTGTGTAATTGCACATACTCCACTGCTCTGTCAGAAGGTTTTCTTGGAGCAAAAAATGCTGCATTAAACTGACACACTTCAGCTCAGTAAAACTACAGAATTTGCTCATTATCTTGCCTAAATTCATAAGAAACATCTGCAGCAGCTGGGATACTTAAAACCTGGCTGACTCTTACACATGCAGAACCTTTACAGGAAAAACGAGGACAAATCTCGTACACGTCTGGGGATTATTTTTTATTTTTTTTGTTGTTTGTTCTGCATGCAAATCCCAATGGGATGATTTTTTATTTTTTTTACCAGAACTATGGATTCATACAGTGTCACATTGTGAATGTAAGTGTACGATACAGTCATTAGCAACAGCTGTGAAGAAAAGCATCAGCCGCACACTAAATCCTCGTAAGTCCATCCATCACCTCGTCGTTAAAATCAGTCCACTGCTCCACCTTTGGTCTGAATCACAGCACACACACACACACACACACACACAATTTAAAAACCCGATTAAAATTCAGCTCTCATTAGTTGAATTGTACGCCCTGGACCTATACCCTCTGGCACGTGCTTGCTTACGTGACCCCGGGAATGCGTTTGCGCTGACCTCTGCTTACCGAAAATCCAGCAGGAGTTGATTTTTTGGGCAGCAGGGTGCGATGGGAGAATTTGTACCAAAGCCTCCTATTTAGGTCATAACTGCAAACTTGGGCCCTCATCTGGACTGCATTTGCACTGGAGGGGTCTGACCACAGCGCAGGGAGAAAATAGACCCAGCTGCTCTGCTGCGGAGCCGGTGGCCAGTTCCTGCTCTTTCGCTTCAACGGGGAGCGAAACGGCTGTTTTCCCAACTGCGAACGTGAGCTTTAAATGAGGGGCACAGAACAAAGGATAAAAGCTCTTGAAAGAAACTGGAGGCTGGCCGGAGGAGAGGGAACAAACGCTCCATTGGCCGGGGTCACGGCTTGTCATCACCGCTGGTCCTCTATGTTCTTCATTAGTGTGCGATTAGATCCCAGTCCCTGCTTATACATTCCTCACACACACCATGTATATTTCGTTCCTGTCTACCGGCTCCTCTCCCACTCATTTGGTGTATTCCTCATTAACACGTCTTACATACATCAGCCTTTCCTATATTTAGTTCCCAAGGTAACAGATAACTGAAATTGGGTCGTGTGGACCGTGGACACCATAAACCATCAAAATCCAAGCTTCCATTCCTGTGGCTCTCCTGACGGCGCGGACAGCCAATTAGAGGAGGCGGCAGATAGACTGATTACATTTACGATAAAAATGCAAATACTTGCTGGTAATGAATTAATGATACAAACTGAAAGCAAAATATGAATTGGGTTTCAGCCTTAAATACCACTCCTGGGGAAAACAAGCCCATATGGAGTTTATACGTGGAAATAATAGCCATTTGCTTGTTCTGGCCCTTGACGTATATTTTCAGCTTCTAGAAGCTTCCAGAGATCAGCTCGCTGAGTGCTTATTTACATTCCTTCAGATGATACGCAGTTATGCGCCACTCAGTGACTGCCCCCCCCCCCCTTGCCGGGCCTCTTCGTGGTCCCAGTCACTGAGGATCAGCAGCTGCTCATCATGACCCTGTTGCTCAGGCCATCGACAGCGAAAGGGAACTTTTCGACCTCGAGCCTGTTAAGCTTAGCCTCCAACTACAGTCTATGAACACAAAGAGTCAGAGCACATGTACCCTGAAACCCCTTATGCATATAACTCACTCTGCTATTTAATATTAGTCATTACTCACGAGTAATATACTTGAAGATGAAGTCACTGATAAATGAAAAGAAAAATTTAATTTCAATACAAACCTAAAAAAAATGAATTCATGCCCTACCCTAAGATAAAAAAAATTGCATTATTAAGCAGACAACAATATTTGTAGCTTAATGCCTTTTAAATAATAATGTGCCTGTCCACTTTTTTAAAGCCTAGCCATTCTGAATGTGTTCTTGTATCACATTTTGTACTTACCCATTTCAATCTGACTAGACGGTTATTTAATATGGTTATATAGCATGGTCCTCTATTCTGGTCCAGTGTTCCGGAATATCTCCGCGGAAACACCAACGTCACTCCATACGGTGTCATTTCTACAATGAAACTGATGTTCTTGACCAATGCCGAGCATCCTCTAAAATAATACGCCTTTTGCCCGTCATTGCTGAAGCCTTGTGTCACAGTGTCTGCGGCATGGTTTTTGCTTGCAGTACGTTGCTTAGCTGATGCATTATCCAAAACAACACAGTTTACACACTTGGATATTTCCATTTCAGTAGTTAAGTACCTTTTTCAGGGGGTACCAGAGTGTTCTCCCACCAAAACGTCAACCATAAACTTACAGCTCACAAGTTCACATCCTTAACCATTATTCTACCTGCAAATTTTGCTTAATCAACTGTTTCAGTCTTGATCGTTTGAATCTGACAGTTTGTATAGCTCAACAAGCTGGAGCAAGCTACCCCTGTGATGAAATTGTTTGTCCACAAATGGTACTGGAGAAAGATTAATATCTGATTATACTTTTTTTTTTGTTCAGTGAACCAACATCGCTCAGTCGTCAGGCTGCACATTCATTGTGTGAAGGCATGTATTGAATTTCACATGCTGACAATCACTGTATTGTCGCAGAGGCTGTCATATTAAACCGTGTATGTTTTGACATACTTTCATGTTGCTAGGCAAACCTTTACTGTCAGCTGTATCAGGGATTAACTGTAGTTTTTATATTTCGCCAGTCTGAATGCCGGATCGCTGGTCTCTGAGTTCTTGTGGAAATTTTACCCATTGGTAGAGCAAATCTTTGCATCCATAGTCTGCAATGAGAAATCGTTGACTAAGGTGGATTGTCACCAAAGACTGAAGTGTTTACAACTTTCTGCTGTATTTTGAACTCGCC